CGTATAGAGTAACCCAAGATTTGACGGTGAGAGGGGTTGACTAGCTGCCTTCCCTCTAGTCTGTCACTTCAAAATAAGGGACGGTTAGCGCAGATAGCCCTGGAGTAGCTTTGCACGAAATTTAAACACAGACTGTGATAAGAAGCAGAAGACTTGTTACTGGTCACGAAGTAATAATTTCCAACATAGTACAGAGAATGAAAATAAATTTGTTATATGAGTCTATTGTTGCTTCAGCTTTTTTCTTTTTTTATACAATGGAAAATTAAATATTTACAAGCTGCACAGTGGAACAGAAAAGAACTCTAGTTACTATCCAGAGAACATAATGGCATAAATTATGCGTGATGAAATTTCTAAACTACACGTCTAGAACGCCATAAAGTATGATTATATCAGCGAAACACATGAAGAATGGGTGTGACTGTACGAATATACAGGGGTACACCTGAGAAGATTAAGGAAATTATGAAACCCATAGAATAGACAGCCTACTATTATCGCTTCGGTAAACCTTAACGATGTTCTTTTGTAGTTTCTTTGATTAAATGATGTTAAACAAAATATGCAAGTTATTTTCATATAATCTGTTTTTAATTACGCTTAATTTATAAAATTCTAAGTTGGTGTAAAATTTGGTAATAGTTAAATGTTTTATCCAGTAGCCGGATATAAACTGGTTAAATTAAGCAATACAAAACATGTCACTCCTAGACCATGGGCGGCTATTATATCTCCCTTTCACCAATAGGGATGCTTCGAAACAGTGCCTTTTACAAACCTTGGCAAAGGTTTTAATATTAATCAATGCATTTGATACTGATCACCCATTGGATTAGGGCACCAGGCAACTTGAAGGTAGGTGGCTCCAATTGCCTCCAGGTGGACTGGTAATAGCATATTATAGTGACTGTTTTTACCTCTCGCTTGATTTTTTTCTCAGCTAAATCAGTAGAGTTTCATTGAACCTAACAGGCTTTACAACACATTTTAGTAAAATGTTTACTTTTTTATGCTTTCAGTAATGTATGATGTCATCATTACTACTCAACACTGGCTGAAGTAAACTACTGATTTTCACCAGTGGTTTTGTTGAATTTAAGCCTTCAGATCACGTAGATCACGTCGAAACATGTACTTGTAGAGAGATATTTTAAAGTGGAAGGTTTTTATTATGTAAATATAAAATGTTGTTTTTAATTATTTATTATAATTTAAAAACATTTAAACACAAGTGCCGGTAGTGCATACCAGCAAAAGTATACACAAAGCAGAGGATTTCAGGTTTAGGATAAAGCAGCCCACAGGAACTGTAGCTTTGTTTTATGAAAGGTAAATAAGAGTTCAATATGACTGTGTACAGAACAGACACATGTTATCCAGAGGCTGTAGCAGATAAAAAGTATTCCGACATGTTGTGAGTGTTCAGCAGGGCTCTGATACAGGATCCTACTCAGAGACTACCTGAATGTGCATAACAAAGATGCTACAGACAGAATGTAATCAATGGCTATATGGTTCTTATTTGTTGTCTATTGACCCAGCTCTCTACACAACTATTCGATATGTTAGTTTATAAATAAGTTTGTAAATTATTTCTTTTGAAAACGACGATTTTTAAAGGAATATTCAAAGCAAGTGTTAGTCGAAAGATATGTCACTATTACTTACATAGGTAGAGAGAACACAAATTTTGAATTTATGCAAGTTTATTGTATTTTGTTATGCCATCACTATGTTTGAAGCACAAAAAAGGCTGTTTATTTAAATTTGGGACAAACCATATAATTATATTTCACCATAACTTATACTTAAGTTTGAATAATTATACTTTTTTTTGAAAAATAAAATAACATAATTTATCTTCGAGTGGTCAAATGGACTTCTTTTTTACTGTCGTAGACACAGGTCTTTTCTAGTAGACGTTCAAACAAAAATAGGCACAAGTGAGAAAGATTACGACATTGTTAACACTGTACAACGAAGGGGCAGGTATAAGTGTTGTGAGATTACGAAGCACCAATATTAGTTTTACCCATGCATAGTGATGATACTTATCCATACCTTCAATTTTAATTATTATAACAACAGTTGTAACAACTGGTGCTCAACTACAGACGTGTTTATTAATACAAAAAACGAAAAATTTCGTAACAGGAATTTATTTGTTAAAGGAAAGAAGCTTTCCTCCACTGGGGTATTCAGGGATATTGTTATCGCCCTTCGTCCGGCTCGCGATAATTTTGTTTGTTACATGCGCGGAATTTTTAAATTTTAGCTGGAAAGGTTGGTTTTACGTTGTCTAGAGAGATTAAAGTTTAGGATTGGAGTATGGAGATATGAGAGAAGCAGAGGCATGTCCGGTGGGTTTCAGGGCAGAAAGAAAGACCGAGGCTGTTAACGTGACGTCGTTGAGAAGAAGTAAGACTACAAACATTCGACAAAACACATCCAATAAAGTTCCAATGATCAGTTTACTAATTTATTGAAAGTTACATACATTTTGTTATATTTACGACGCTTGTATTGACCGTGTAAGTCGTTACGTATTTGTCTCCTGACTGTTTCTAGGCGGAATATTCCAGTAGATGGAAAGGCCAATAAGAAAGCAGATAGATTTCTGCCGGCAGCACAAACTCAGGAACGATTTTGAAGTTCTGAGCGTTGAACGATATAAAACCAGAAAGTTTAATGTAATATACATATAGGTGTCCCTGATCACTGGGTATTTGTTACGATTTGGTTTGTTGCCTTGCTTCTTCTCTTCTCTTCAACAACGTTATCGGCCTTGACCTTCTCTCTGCCCCGAACTCTCTAGACATTTCTATAGTCCTCATATCCGCCAGAGTGAAACACATCAATCTTTCAAAATTTATCAAATTCACGAACTCAGCAAATAAGTTATCGCGAGCGAGGTGAAAGGGGATACTAATATTCCTGAACACCCCAGTTTGAGAAAGTTTCTTTCCTTTAAAAACTAAATCCCTGTTGTTTTGAATATACACATATTATGCCCTCAATTACGTGGTGTGCGGCATAGTCAGACTATCATTTGGACCAAGAAGCTCATGTCTTTGTTCGTTATTCACATTCATCTGTTTAGCCCCCCCAATGGCACAGCGGTATGTCTATAGACTTAAAACACTAAGAAACCTGGCTTCGATATCCGTGGTGGGCAGAGCAGAGATAGCCCTTTGGGTAGCTTTGTGCTTAACTACAAACAAAATCATGTCTTTATTTTTCGCCTTCACTAAACAACGTTTTTAATGCAGTTTTATACTTTAACTGAATTTGGCAACATTCAGCCTGTACAGATTAAAGTAATATAATATTTATAGTTTCACAGTTTGTATACTCTGATTAACTTACCTTATTTTGACTAAATTTAAATTATTTCATCATTTTATAATTTCTTTATTCGTTATTGATGAAAATATTAATTAAGCCACTATTTAATAATGCATGGGCATAGTGAAATGCATTTTTTTCTTTAATTTGTTTTTGGAATCCTGTGCAAAGCTACTCGAGAAGCATCTGCACTAGCTGTCCATAATTTAGAATTGATAGAATAGAGGGAAGGCAACACCTCCCATTGCTAACTATTGGGCTATTCTTTTACCAACGAAAATGGGATTGAACCTCACGTTATAATGTCTCCACGGCTGAAAGGGTGAACATGTTCGGAAACAGTATTTAAACCATTGACCCGAAGATTGCGAGTCGAGCGCCCTAACCATAAGTTTATGCCAGACTTCTTATTTATTCCTTTATTTTTCTCTACTTAACATTTGTTTCATTGTTTTTATCAGTTTCATCAAATTAATTTTCACTAAAAGGTGTTTTGTTATGAATATGGCTGTTGATAAAAGTCTGAATTTATGAAGTATATGTTGGGGTTGAGGGCCCAGACACTCATAATTGGTTAATCTGGCACAAGGATGCGGCGGTATCCACAACAAATTGGTGAATGGTTCAAGATACAAATCTGGTCACCTAGCACACTGCTAATCATTTTGAAGTGTTGAGGGTGCAGCGCTCCGTTCGACAGATCTTTGGGAATACATCGCACCCTACGTTTCCGCGTCTATGGCATGAGATATAAAACAAAAACAACAACAAACTCACTAAACCACTTAAGAATCAAAACGGTTGAGGACGGAGGAATGGCGTAGAGCTTAACAACAAATAAACAAAAAATCGTTTAGGCAATTTTGGTCGCATCCTCCGCAGCCATCGTCTCCGTGAAAATTTCATGAGATATAACAAAACATAAAATTAAACAACAAACCCCCCTAATGGCCATTAGACTCAATATGATGGAGGAAGGAGGAAGCAATTTCAAGGGCCGCAGGAACTAGCAACTTTGTTCTCAGAAAGTGTGACTAACTTTCAATATACACAATACAGTAGAACCGTGTTGAACTGTTGGGACACACACCCAAGGGAGGCACGGAGAGTCGCTTATTTTTAACTAAAAGAGGAAACGAAACGTATATATTTCATAGCTTAATTTTAACTAAAAGGGGAAATAAAAATTATTCCATAGCTTATTCTTAACTAAAAGAGGAAACAAAGTGTATTCCATAGCTTAATTTTAACTAAAAGAGGAAACAAAGAGTATTCCATAACTCAATTTTAACTAAAAGAAGAAACGAAGTGTACTCCACGGCTTATTTTTAACTAAAAGAGGAAACTAAAAGTATTACATAGCTTATTTTTAACTAAAAGAGGAAACAAATAGTATTTTATAACTCATTTTTAAAAAGAGGAAACAAATAGTATTTTATAGCTCATTTTTAACTAAAAGATGAAACAAAAATATATATTCCATAGCTTATTTTTAACTAAAAGAGGAAACGAAGCGTATATATTTCATGTCTTATTTTTAACTAAAAGAGGAAAAAAAATAATATTTTATAGCTCATTTTTAACTAAAAGACTTACTTGAGTTCGCCATAAGAAGCAATTCCGACCTAATACAAATAATCAAAGTTACTTACTTTTACCACGAAATATCGATAAGGGTTTGGGCACAGTGCGCGTGATATACGTAATAAGGCTTCAATGGAAGAGTAACTACATGTGAAAAGGCTTTCATGCGAGAATAACTACATGCTTGAAATGTGAGCTCGTTTGTCACATGATTCTATCGTACAAGAAGCCATAAAGAAAGAAAGCACGTGAGCACCTTAACAGGTATGTTCATATTACATGGGTTCCAACAAACTTGTTCGTCTGGGAAATCGCCCTTTCGTGTCCAATTGTTTCACAACAGAAAGTACATTCAGCGTTGTATTATAAAACCAACTGGAAATCTGGTGACTTGTGGATAAATCAGTAGGTGTGCATATATTGTATCAGTTCACAATCAGAATAAAAGAGTTATGAAAAAGCGAGGAAAACAGGGTTAACTAAACTTCTTGATTTGAATGCTCACGCGAGATGTTAAATTGGGCCAAAAAGAAAAAAAAAACGTCCTTATCTTTGTCGGTTTGGTGTTGCATAACAATAAGTGATAGAAAGAATTTCAGGTGACCTACAAATTTGCTTAAATGTTTTCTATCAAAATAAGTTTTTAATTCATTCGTCTTCTGATGTTGACGTTCGAAGTACAGCCATATCTGAGTTATTTATTATTGGTTTTAGAACTGTAATCCGATATAACAAGTTTATAAAAATTATCACCATAACTGTGCACACAGAGTATGTAGACTATACTTTGAACAAATGTCACAAGAAGTGCTAGGTTTCTCTCTCTCTCTAAACAGAGTATGTAGTCTATATTCTGAAGTACTGCAACGAGAAGTACTAGGTTTCTCTCTCTAAACAGAGTATGTAGTCTATATTCTGAAGTACTGCAAAGAGAAGTACTTGGTTTCTCTCTTTCTCTAAACAGAGTATGTAGTCTATATTCTGAAATAATGCCACGAGAAGTGCTAGGTTTCTCTCTCTCTCTCTTTCTAAACAGAGTATGTAGTCTATACTCTGAACTAGTGTCAAGAGAAGTGCTAGGTTTCTCTCCATATATACACAGACTATGTAGTATATACTCTTTAATTAGTGCCAAGAGAAGTGCTAGGTTTCTCTCTCTATATATAAACAGACTATGTTATTTATACTCTGAACTAACGCCAAGAGAAGTGCTGGTTTTCTCTCTCCAAACATAGTATGTAGTTTATATTCTGAACAAGTGCCAAGAGAAGTGCTGGGTTTCTTTCTCGCTCTAAACATAGTAGTTACACTATATTCTGAACTAGTATAAAACTGTGTATGAAATTGCGCGTAGTGTTTGTTGGAAGAGAAAAGAAGGAGAATTTTGTTGGTTAAACCACCGAAGATAAATAACGTGCTAATTACAGGTATATAAAGTTCAAAGTGAATATGGTCGTGCGTACATTGGTCAAACTAGAATAAATGAACATATGACAAATGTTAAAAACAAATGTGAAAACTGCATTAGCTGAACATGTAAATTTACTGGACATAGCATCCAGTTATTTTGGCTAAACCGAATAATATGACTGCTAGAAATATTAGAGAAACCACTGAAATAACGAAACACAGCTTGATCGTCAATTAAATGAAGGGTTAGAAAATCAGAAAGCATGTAGATGACGTGATCTTATTTTTTGAATTGAAAACTAGTGTCACAGTACCATGGATTTTGTACTTATATAACACACGTTAACTGTTTTTTTTGTTTTTTTTACATTCCTGAAGATGACGTGAAACGAGGTAGGAACATATAGAGTGACTTTTGCAATTTGATCGGTTTAAATAGATTTTAATTGTGTATTATAAAATTTTGTTCGTTTGTGGATTTTAATATTTTATATAATATTATTTACAAACGCTTGAAACAATATTATCGGATTTAAAAAAAAAAAATAGGTAAAAGTTAAAAAATGAAAGTAACTGGAGGTATATTCGACACAAGTTAAAAGTCATAAATCTATGAAAAAATAAATTAAGAACATTTTTAAAAGGAAGTTAAAACCAAAGTATAAAAAAACATTACAAAACGTTAAAACTTACATTTATCTCATATGAGTGGATAGTTCCCAGGTAGAAAAAAATCATATAGTTTGCAGTTACACTTGTTCGCAGGGGTCTTTTTCAAAATAAGTATTTTTTAAATGTTGAAGGGTACCGTTGTGCAAATCTAAGTGTCAAGCTACTGGTTTACATGTGTCACAGTTTATTCTCTTTCTGAGACGTTCTAGGGTACGTTCTGCTGATACTATACTGGTATTGGATATATATAATTTTCCACAACACGTACATACAATAAAATATACGACTCAATTTGATGTGCAGTTATATTGATTTTTAATGTAAAAACTATTTAGGTCTCTGCACGGATGCTATCAGGTCAATGTAAATACACGTGTCGCAGAACCTTCTATTACAAGAACAGCTAACTACAACAATATTATTTTTTGCGGGTTTTTGAAGGTTACTATGAATTAGGGAGTTTCGAATATTTGTATCGTGATGGTATGAAACTATAGGGAGTGGGTGGTGGTCTTGGATCTATATCTCTATTGGTGTCAAAAGAAAACTATTTATAATATTATCTTTGACCTGTTGGTTGTTTGAGTGGTATCTAAGGGCAAGAGGTATTCCGGTAATGGGGAGTTTAGAGTTTGTTTCTATGAGCGATGAAGAGGAATTGAAATCTTGATTTACAACAGAGTTCGAAATGTTTTCAGGGTCTGTTGGAGGTGGACACCAGCATGGAAAAAGGATTATAGTCTTGTGGCTCAGGCATCAGGTTCATTAAACAATTTCTGTAGCTTAATGAATTGAGATTTGGGGTTGTTATTTTCATATTTAATAAATGGCTAGAATCAAAATGTAAATAGTCATGGGCGCCCATAGTTTATAATGAGTACTAAACCTGATTTTATTGGAATTTATAGAAAAAATAATATCCAGAAATGATAGTGACGAATCTGAAATGTTAGGCGTGCAGACCAGTGAAAGAGGTATGCAAACTGATATAACCAGGATTGTCACATAATGAGATGTTTGTTTTATACATATCAACACATGATGCGTTGGCATGGGCCAAGTAGCGTCCATATCCGGGCCTGGGGCAAGTTACCCGTCTGCTCCCTCCCCTAATCGAATTTGTGTGGAAAGCAGATGGCAGAGTAAAAACGTGAAACTAGAAATTCTGGAAAGAAGGATTGTTGTATGGAAGTGGGAGGTGAGCTGTATGAACTGTAAATTTTCCCCTCTCTTCTGGTAATACACATAATTGAATCCTACTTTCAAAATAATTTTTTTTAAAATTAAGTTCATAAAAATTGTAAGATAGTTAAAAAAGAAAATTAGAACTATAGTAACTCAATTGTGGTTAAACATATGAACTACGACGAACATGGCCAGTGGATGACTGTTTTTTTTGGTTTTTTTTTGGTGTTCAGTGTCGAAAAACTGTTTGTTTAATTTCGTGAAAACATACTCAAGGGATATCTCTGCTAGTAGGCTTGCCAAATCTCCTGGATTTACCAGGAGTGTCCTGGAATCGCATTTATTCTCCCTTCTTCCGGAATGCTTGGTAAATCTCCAGGATTCTAAAACAAGAACAAAGCTTTTCAAATTTTTGCTCCTTACAAATAAAAAACATTTTAGTTTCACTCGGCGAACTTGCAGCTCACGTCACCGTATCTAACTGCCGTTACGTAGCGGCTCGCAAGCTAACATTGTGAATATTTTTTTATTATTATTTTTTTCCATTATCTTACCTAATCTAATCCAACAAGTTTCAAATTTTTACATTTTAGTTACTTTTATAATAATAAATAAAGAATACACACGAAAAAGAAGAAATATATAGTGCTTACCTTTATCCCCTTTTATTTTTGCTGTCGATTGTCGATGAAACTTAAGCCTATTTTTTGTACTAATGGTACTACTACACTAAATATTTTTTATGTAATTGAATGATGCACCTAAGAATACAACATAATAGCATACACAAACCAGGCAATGTCTTATAACTATTATAATTGTTCTGGCTTTCTAACTGTTACGTCTCCGTTTGTTAATTGATTTTCCGTAACTTCGTTCCGACGAAACTTTAGCGACACAAGTCCTTACTTAATAAAACTGGTTTATTCTTTCT